GATTTGATTTGAAAATTTCAGATTTGAATTTGATTTGAACTCAAATATTTGATCAAATCAAATCAAATCAAATTGTGGAACCCTAGATATAAGTATATATAGTTTATATGTAATCTTTTGCGATATCTGATTTGTTATATTGGTTAAAAAATATAATTATTGTTTAGAACTTAAAAGAGATATAATGTTATTATTTTTTTTTTAGTTAGAAAAGTTAATATAATAGAACTTCTATATTTGATTATAAGTTTGGTTATTAATATTAAAAAGTATTTAAATAATAGTTTGTAAGACTATTTTGATAGATATATTATAATTGTGAATTGTTTTAATTAAGGCTTTAGGTATAAGACCTTTAAGAATAAGGTCAAGATAGAAAAAGTTTGCTTGAAATGGTATTCAGTTAAATGAAAGATAGTTTTGAATTTTGCAAATAAGTTCATATAATTAACTAGTAGATAAGTTGAGGTCTGCTTTAGATAAAATATACTAAATTGATAAGTTAATAATGTTTATAATAAGAGAAGAATTAAAGCAAGCTAGCCAGTATAAGTAGGAGTTAAAAAAATTACATAGAAAATAGTTAATATTTGTAAAAATTATTAGATAGATATTTAAAAAAAAAAGTATATTAATAGTTGATTTAGATAGGCTTTAATTTTGAAGACTTTAGATTAGTTAAATTTAAAGCTAATAAAGTTAGATAAAACTTTTTGGTTATAATTAAGATATAGTCATATGAATTTCTAGTCTATATGATAGTTAATATGATCTATTCATTGTTTCTTTTTTGTAAAAACCATATTGCTAGTATATATACCTTATAGATATTTTTAATAAAATATCCTAATCACTATATTAAGATCACTAAGTATTTAGCAAAAATACCCTGACCATATATATACAAACAAAAACTTTATTTCTGCTAATACCCAATAGATCAGGATATTTTTATTACAAATATTTAGTAGAAAGCTTAACAAGATTTTGTTTCTATTATAGAATATGAAAAGAATTGTAAATATTTGTAAATTAAAGATTTAAGGGTAGAGTGTAATACAATATTAAAAATCATATTATATTATTGGTAAATCATTTTATAATAATAAAAATAACGGATACACAAAAACAAGTTATAAACAAACTTTTTTGTACAACATAAAAATTAACAAAAACAAGCATACTGATTCTCGAAGACCTCTAGTTTTTGTAAAAATTCTCTAAAGTGTAAATTCTTTATTTTATTTTATTTTTCTTATATAATAAAGTTTACGAGTGAAACTCTTTAACTTATAGGTGAAACTCAATATATATAACATATTCTAGAACATATAATCGAATATTCTAGAATGGGAATCTGGTATAAAAATTTAATAGAACAATCACAAAACCGTATAGCTATTAAACGAGATAATAATAGCTGGTTAGTACGTGATACAAGTCAATTAATAGTTTTAGAATGTCACAAAAATATGGATCCTTTAGTCTTAAAACAAAATCAAGTTGCAATACCAAGTACTACAGTAGGTTATTATATACCAAGTGATGCAGAAAATATATCTGATTAGATTCCTTTACTACCTGGCTATACAATATATATAAAAGTATCAAATATTTGTATAAAACTGTCAATTATTTTAGATGAAAATAATGCATTACAGTTTGAATGAAATGTATATGAAAATGATTCATTTCAAAGATCTATAAATTTTGGTGCCGATTATTCTTTATTCAAATCATTATATTCTTATTATAAATTGAAAAATCGAAGCATTGCCTGGCTATTAGGTTTCATAAATATTGACAATAATAATTTTTTGCGTGCAACTGTTCACCAAATGTTTCCAAATCTGTATTCCGATTATCATAAAGTAACCCAATGTTTTCAAAAAGAAAATAAACTAAAAAAGTCATTACAACGAAAAAGTAATGAAATTGATCAAATTCTTTAACATAAGCAGTCACATATACAACATAATGTAATTCTTGAACATGAAGGCAAAAATCTTTCAACAAAGGAAATACAAGCACTTATAGTCAAATATAATGAACTTGTTGCTCATGTATATAATCAAAATCGCAAAATATCATATTTACAACAGCAAGTTGACTCTTTTAAAGATTTATACAAGCAACGAATTAATTCAATAAATTCTTATCAAAATATTGAAAAAAAAATCGACCAAGCAATTAAAGACAACCAACTAGGTTCTACAATTCTTGTTGATACAAAACAATATCTAATACATATAATTTCACAACCTTGTTCTAACTGTCAAAATTATAATATCATTTCTAAAAAATGGAAAATAAGTAAAATTGGATTTAGTGTTAAATGTTTAATAAAATATAAGAACAGCCAAACATACATTGAACATACAAATGAATCATCCAAGATAAATTTTTCAGCTTCATTTTCTGCAGCGGGCCTAGCTGGAGGAATTTCAAAACATTTATTACAAACTGCTTTTGCTGTTTTAGGAATAACTTCACAAATTTCAAAAAAAACATATCATATACATTAACAAAAAATATTTACCAAAATCGTAGATACAGCAAAAAAGTCAGCTTCTATGGCTTTTCAAAAATGTATAGAATATATAATTAACCTACCAGATTCTACTACTTTATCAAACCATTTTATAATTACAAAACAATTTCCTGTCAGATTTGATACATCTTGGTCACATTGTCAATTAGCTAATCAAGGAAGTGGTGAATTTATTTTTCAGACAACAATTCCAGGTACTAAATATAAAAAAAAATATTTTGTATTTTTATATACAAATAAATTAATATAATTTTTAAACACTATAATTATTTGTATATTAGGATATAATCACAAACCTGTAATTGCTTTTTATATAACTGAAAAACCTCGACTAGTAAAAAATACCAAAACTGGAGTTTCTAAAACTATACATGAAGGAAATTTCACAGCAAGTTCTAGACAAATGGAACACACAATACTTATTAAATTATTAGAGATTGTAAAACCACTACTTCAAGAAAATTAATTATTATTAGATGTATGTCTTGACGAAGACTTAGATTCTAATAAAACATTAGGACATAAACCTATTGTAAATAGAATATATGCAGATTTGAAATATATAAGTAAAAATATTTGAAAAAATATTCGTAAGTATAGAATAATATAAAATTTAATTTTAAAATGATAATATAAATTAATAAATATACATACTTGTTATATAAAGGTCAAAAAAAATATATTACTTTTCATAAATTTGAACAGCATATAATGAGATAGTTCAATGGATGTGCATTTACAGCTGGAAGTCGCTTACAAAATCCTGATCAACTAACACCAACAGAAGAAGAACTAAGAGAAATCCAAGTAGAAGGTTTAATTAAACATCTTTTAGATAATCATGAATTATGTTGAGATGAAATTTGCTGGAATAAACATGATTCTAGTATTGAATTACAACCGCCAACATTAATAGATTACTCAGACTTAATGATTGAGAAATTTCGTGAGATGCTATTAACATGCTGTCGAATTCCAACAGGACAAGGATTAGTAACTACATATAGAACATCACACAATGAAGCTTTTAATCGTATAAAACTTATATACCTTGATAAGAAAATAGATTACTAGAAATCTTTTGAAGCACGTCATGCACTAGCTGTTCTACACAATAATGAAGGTTATTTAAGTACAATAGCAGATCTTTATTACTTTGCTAATAATCAAGATTTTTCAGAAGAAGATTATTTAAATATATCTATTATTGAAAATGAAAGACTAAATTAAAGTTCAATTAATATTAAAAAAATACAAGAACATAATGCTCAAAGAGCGATAAAATATTCTAATGATCAAGCAGAATTAATTGGATTTGATTTTAGTCAAGCAAGTATTAACTTCATAACATATTATAATTAAATTATTAAATTAAAAAAAAATAATAATTACATTAATTTGATAGGAACTTATACCTTATAAACTTCGAGGTGAAGAACGTATAAAATCAAATACTTTTTATCCTTCCTTTGCACTACTCATAAAAAATTTTGATACAATAAACAAATGTATAGGATGTCAAGCATTTCAAAAATGTTGTACTGCTGGATTTTGTGCAATGTGTAGTTTGTATCTTCATATAGGATGGAATGACCGATTACTAAACAAAAACATAAAAGATACATTTATTAATAATATTAATATACCAAAATCACCACAAGAACAAATACTACTAACAACTAAAAAAATATTTGGATATAATGAGCTTCATCCAGGACAATTCGATACAATATATGAATATATATATAATCAGAAAGATACATTACTTTTAATGAGAACTGGAGGAGGAAAGTCTTTGTGTTTTATGATATCAGCTCTTTTATTTAATGGATTAACAGTAGTAATAAGTCCATTAATAGCACTTATTCAAAACCAAATAGTAAGTACTCTAAAATATAAAATATATTAAATATTTACAATAAATAATATAATAATTTTTATTATACAAAGGCAGAATGCTTGAAAGCAGGAATACCTTGTGCTGGTTTATATAATTCTACAGAAATAACACTTGATACAGAAATGAAAGTCTTCGAAGAAATAGCAATGGGTTTTACAAAACTTCTATATATAACACCAGAACGGTTAAGAAGCAAAAGAATTAATATATTATTTTCTAGATTGCACACAGATAAAAAATTACAATTTGTAATTGATGAAATTCATTGTATATTTGAATTTGCTGACTTTAGGTAATTTTGATTTTTAACTAATTAATGAAAGTAAATTGAATAGTAAAATAATAAATCGAATAATTATTTAGAAATGCTTAGGGAAATTTAAAAATTCTTAAAGAATATTATCCTAATATACGAATTATGGGTGTAACAGCTACTTGTACATACTCAGAAATAGAAATTCTTAGTACAAACCTAGGAATATTACAAGATAATTTTATAGTAATATGTGATGGAAGTTTTGCTCGAGAGGAGCTTCAGTACGAGGTTAGGAAAAAAAAAGATCGTGGCGGAGAAACAATTGCAGACATTTTAGAATTAATTAATGAGATAAACGAAGGACAAGTTATAATCTATTGTGCATGACCAAAAGATTGTGAAGAATTATTAGAAAAGCTTGCACATAATTATGATTCAAATAAATTAGACATTTTTCACGGAAAAATTACAGGAAATACTAGAAAACTTACTTTAGCAAAGTGGATGAATGGAAACACAAAAATAATGATTGCTACAACTGCATTTGGAATGGGAATAAATATGAAACATGTGTGCCTTGTAATTCACTTGACATTTCCTTTTAGTATAAGTAAGTATACTATATATAATTGCTATAAAGTAAAAAATTTGTAAAATAAAAATCTGAATTAAAATTTAAAATTTTTATTGTATCGAATATAATTTTGATAAATTTAATTTAATGCATTAAAAATTTAAAATATTAACTTTTAGGTTTTAATTTACAGCACTCATATATAATAGAACTAAGTTATATTTCATTTTAGCTCACCTTATTCAGCAAGCCGGTAGAGCTAGTCGAGATCAGTCTTTGGCAAAAAGTGTAATAATGTATTCAAAAAATGATCTTCATACGAACTATTCAATTCTCACACAAGATCAAGAAAAGTAAGACTAGAGTTTATTTTTATTTGGCATCAGAATATTACTAACAAAATATAATAACTTTTTGGATAGAGATATTATGTCAGTAAGCAATGATCAAAAATTAAAAAACATTCAACAAAAACTATTTGAAGTTACAAATTATTGTATAGATATATACCGATGCCGATTTCAAACTATTACTAATTACCATGCATGGCCAAATGACCCAGTACTTCTATCATGCAATATATATGACAATTGCAAACGTCGTAATAAAGAAAAACCAAAAAAGATTGATGCATCAGAAGAAATAATAGAATTATTAAACTTAGTAGAAAAACTAACCTGTCAATATTCTGGTGAGGTAATTCCATTAAATATTATAGAAATGTTCAGTTTGGCAGATAATGCACGACTTAGAAAAAGAGGTTATAAAGAGCTCATAGGTGAGCGTACTAGTCAAAAACCAAAAATTTTGAAGAACAAAGAACTTGTAACTTTAGCATTATCAGATCTCGTAGTTAGAGGATTAGTAAGACAAGAAATTATACTTCGCCATCCAAGTCCAATGGCAGCATATCTTACTTGTACTGTAGTAGTACATAGAATTAATGAAGGTGCAAAAGAAAAGGTCCAAATCGAAAAATGGATGTATTGGCGAAAATAGTTAATACAGTGATACGTAGAAAAAAAAATTGATTCTAGAATGACATATATGTAACATATGTTGATCAATTTTATGTTGTGTAACCTAAAAAATTCGTAATACATACTATATCGATTTTAAATATAGATTACACTCTACCCTTAAAGATAAAGAAAAAGTATATTGTTTTGCTAAATAGTTAGCTATATTATTAAAATTATCATCTGTATAAGCTTGAATTTTGTAAAAGTTAATATTTAGATTAAAGAATTTAATAATATTAAGAAGCATATATTATAAAAATCATGTATTAAATTTAAAGAGTTTGTTAGAATTATTAAGTTGAGTAGAAAGTTTGTAAAATTTAGAGATAACAAATAGTGAGTCAATATAAATTTAAGTGTTACATTTTAAGATATAGTTAAAATTGCTAATAAAATAGAGAAAAGCTCTGCCTTATAAACTGATAATCAAAGATAAATTTTAGCTAAGAATTTGTAAAGAATTTGGTTGTTACTGTTAACTTAAACCTATCTAATACTTATTGAGCTTTGTTTAGTTCCAATATTAGTCATTGATCCATCTGTATAAAAAGTAAATTCCTTATATGACAGATAGTTTTAAAAGATTTCTTCAAGTTTGTTTGAACTTTTATTAGGTTTAAAGATTTTTGTAATAATTGAATTTGATATATTAATAGTAGGATAATTATGTAGAATTCATAAAGATGTTTAATTGTTATTGAGTAAATAAGGTTCAAGTAGTTAGCATTAAGTTTAAATTTAGAGGTTTTTCTTCTCAAAAAGCTAGTACAAATAGTTGCTAATATATTAATTGTACATATTTGATTAATTTTATTTAAGTTGAAATGGTATCTGATATGTAATATGCAATTTAAATCTGAAAGAAGATAGTAATAGTTATGTTTTAAATCAATAATAGCATTTCAGTATGAGATAAAAAACTGATTTGTGTTTAGAAAATATTTGCAAATTTTGCTAATAATGATCTCTTCATTATTGTTATTATATATAAGTAACTATGATTTAAGTTTTTTTTAATTAGTAAAGTGGTATAAATGAAGATATTAATTCCAGGTAGTTGAAAATAAAAAAGAATTAAATAGTGTAGTCTATCAGACAAGATTGTGTCTTCTAAGTAAATAAACCAAAAAGGCTGTCTTTCTTTAATTAGGTAATTAAGTCTAAGTAAAAGTTAATACTATTTAAATAGAATGCTGTTATCTGTAGTATATAGTTGTTCTAAATAGAGTATATTGTTTTTAAAATTGTTTTCTAAAAGTATTATATTTGGGATGCTAAATAAGTATAAGTTCAAATGCTTGATAATCATCATAAATTGTGTTAGGCCATAAGACATTAGGATTTGCTAAAATTAAAATGCCCAGATGTTATAAAAATTGTATAATTTTGAAATTAAGTATAAATTTGTTGGATCTATTTATAAGTAGTTAGTTGTGCTAAAGAATATTAGTGGCAGACTAGAGGTTGTTTTAGAGTTGCTGTAATCTAATTTTTGTAGAAATCCTAAGTATTTTTAGGTTATTAATTCTTTGTTAAAAACAAGATATATGATGTTGTAACTAAATATTTCAAATGTTATATACATTATATATATAAGGATTTAGTATAGTGCTGTTAGAGTTAGTATAAGAAAGTTTAGCTTTATGTTTAATCATAGTAAGGTATTTGGATAGAATGTTGTTACAGGTAGAATATTTAAGAATTATATTATGAAATATGTATTCAATAATAAAAATAATTACAGTATTAGTAATATATATGGCTTGTTTGTCTGTAATTCTTTAAGTGTCTGTAATGTTAATAAGTTAAATTGCTTTATTATAAATTAATTAACTTTGTTTTATATAAGAGTTGTTAAGAGTAAACTAGCATTCTAGAAATTTAAATGGTTGGTTAACAGAAGTAAATATAAGTGATGAATTAAAGAAATAGATAAAAGCTGTAAATAAGATGTTTGAAATAAAGATTGATTTAGTTAGATTAATTTGTATATTAGCTATATAGTAAAAAGGGGTGGCTGTGGCAATAATTGTTTGTAGTTCTTTTTTGGATTTGGCTATCCAAAATATGTCATTCATATATACTAATACAGATACTAAGATTTGAAGTTATTAAGACTTTGACTAAAGCAAACTAGTGTTTCACTTTGTAGTCAAAATGTATTCTAAGAAGTCAGAAGCTATTTGTTAATTAGAGAGTCATAATAAATTCTTCAAAATAATAGAGTTATAGTTTTTTCTTAATCAATGCTATTTTTGATATTGTATAAATTAGTAAAACTTAAATTTGTAATAACCTAGTTATGTTGGTTATTAAGCAAGTTAGTAAGAATATTAATAGGTTAAGTGAAATGTTTAGATGTAGTAATTTGGTAAAAAGTATTAAATCTACAGAATTATAAACTTTGCTCATGTTCTGAAATAGGAGCCAAAACTGTTTAGAATTACAAGAAGCTTCTTTAATAACATTATTAATAATATGTATTGGAATAGCTATGCTATTGCTAGGTAAAGTTATATAGTTAAAGAATAATAGGATTTTGTAATAAGTAAAGATATAGTTAAAACAGTTAGTAAGAAGTTTGGTATAAAGGTTTTTGATATGTTCAAGCAAACTAATAGGTCTAATATTAGTTAGATTACTATCAAAAATAGGCTTTTTGGAAATAGAAAAGATTCTTCTTTCTTTTTATTGATTTGAAATTTGTTCAGATATAAGACAGCAGTTAAAAAGAGTTATAATTGTATTAAGAAATAGTGTTTTAGCATGTTTAAGTATTTCATAGCTAATGTCTGATAGTCTACATACTTTGTTATTAGGAAGTTGGCTGATAACTTTGAGAACTTCTATTAAAGAAAATTTATTAAATACTGATTGATATTATGTAGAATCAATATTAGATTTAAATTAGTATTCTTGTTGCTACATTGTGTTAAATAATTGTGATTAAATGTTTCTAGAAGCTGTTTAGTTATTAAAGTGTTGTTGAATATGCTGTTTGATAGAAGTTGATTCAGTAATAATGTTATTTTGTTCTTTAATATTATCAAATCTAACAGAATCTTTGTACCAATTCAGTATACTATTAATGATCATTGATATTAGACTATTTTGAAGTTGATTATATCTTTTGGTTATGTTATCATTAATTTGTTCTCTTATATTTTTAATGTTTTTCAAGTTTCAAATATAATAAAGTATTTTTTATTTAGTATTGGCTGCAGTTACTTAGTTAAATAAAAGATTAGGATTATGAGACAAAGCAAGTATATTGAGATAATAAAGAGAGTTAAGCTGATCAATGTCTTAGTTATAAGATGTCAAGATTGAAGTTTGGTTTCAAATTGAGGCTTTGATCTGTCTTATAATATTGTCAAGTTTTTTAAGACATAAATATAGTTTAGATGCTTTGAAGAAGAAAATATGTTGAAAATTGTGAACAATAAATTTTTTGTTAAAAATATGTTGTAAAGCAGTTGCAATAATGCTTTTTTGAATTTTGAATTATAAGGCTTCAAGTAATTCTATAATATTAACTGTAGAAGAAGCCTTGTTAGCTTAAAGATTAGATGTAACTTGATTAGCAAAATTTTGCCAATGGTCTTAGTTTATTTATTTATAAGTAAAGACTCTTCTTTTGGTTTTAGTAACTAACTACTATTTACTAGTAATGGTATAGAGAAATTCTTATAATAATATTAATATTTTGTGATCACTGAGTATACTTTGGTTGGCATCATTAATATAAAAAGAGTGTAACAATACTATAATTTCTCTGTAATTTTTTTTTTCATTATTTTTCTAAGTCTTTTCTTAATTACATACTAATTACTATAATTAATTTAGTTATATTTAGTTTATCA